TCATCAAAATGTTTGCTGGTAACGGTTGTACATCTCGCTCTCTTACAACGAGAGCAGGACGCGTCATCCAGCTCTTGTAAAAGGTGGAACAGGACGCATCATTCCTCACCCTCGTACAATGTACATTGGGAACTGGACGCGTCATCTCGCCTTCGTACAACGGGAACTGGACGCGTCATCTCGCCTTCGTACAATGGGAACTGGACGCGTCATCTCGCCTTCGTACATTGGGAACTGGACGCGTCATCTCGCCTTCGTACATTGGGAACAGGATGCGTCACATCGCCCTCATGAACGTAAGAATGACGCGTCACGTCACCCTCGTGCAACAGGAGCAGGACGCGTCATACCTTACTCTATTCCTCCCAAATAATTGACCGATTGGTTTTTACACTTGTTAAATCTCTTTGGAAACACATTGGTTCACACAGTGATGCCGACGATGATAAATAACCTTACAGCCAACCACATCACATACAGGTGTGGTGTGCCCATCGTTTGATTCTCGTGGATGTTTTGATGTTATAGGTAATAAATTTTCCACACAAGAGCCCTTTCAGTGTGCAGTTGTGTCCGTTCTAAAGACGGCAGCATCACAGTGTTGGCTGGTTGGCTTTACGACCTGGGAGAAATTATATCGTGTTAGGCTTTATTTGGACACACTTGTATTTTCGAAATTAATTGTGCGGTTTGTAATTGTCGTCGCTTTGATCTTGTCCTACTTTTACTATGTGCTATAAATCAAGTTTTATCAAGGTCATGTGCCGGTCTGACATATCTATCGATACATCGCATAGAGGCTCAAGTGTGAACGTACGCTACAGAGGAGTATCGTCTATCTGGTCCTCGTCATAAGGTCGATGGAAACCTTTAACATAGTCATCTTTCCTACTCGGTCAACTACCTGTATATCGGGGTAGGCTAATCTTGTCAGATAGTGGTGAACTCACAACAAAGCATCTTTGGCAAAATGGTACAAACGGCATGTGTGACCAATCATGTTGACTTCATAAACGAAAAAACACACACATTTTTACATACATTGGCAGACGAAGATGACCTGTATGTTAATGATAATATAATGTGCGGAAATATCGTTTATATACCGTGAAGAGAGAATTAATAAATAATTTAAACAATCAAAGCATCGCAAGGAAAATGTAACCTACAAATGTTGCATAACTAATGAAGCAGACAAAAATAAGTTCGCCCCGTCCCTTTGTGTAACTATCCCAGGTACTAGGGACGGGTCAGAGGCCTGGTGTCAGTCGGTCCATCTAGTACGAAACCTTGTTCGCTACCACTTTCGTTTTGTTCGCGATTTCTCACCGGCGACGGTTTGAAGTTTATAATTAACAATGATTCTGACTAATTATATCATTTGGTAAACGTTGCCTTTGCGAGGGTTTTTAATCTAGGCGCCCCCTGGTGTTGCAGTCCAACTATCTCTACCCCACCGAACGCTGTGTTGTACATAGTGTACCAGGTCTAATAATAGTGTAGTACAAAACTGCGTTACACCGTGAGAAAGACAGTTTCATTCACTACAGATAAATGACAGGTTTACCATACAAATGACGCACGTCCCCCACAAGACAGTCAATAACCTCTGTCTAACGCAATCCCCCCTGGGTAGAATAGACCGACATCCAGGTTACAATGGCTTCCGTACAAACACAATGGGGTTCGAATCTTAACAACCTTTCCAGTAATGGAATGAAAATCCTTCGCGTGGGAATATGTGACTTGCATGCTGTCAATATCAAAAGCAATGAATATATAGTAGGGAATCTCCGTAAGACGTGTATACTATCGAATCCCTTTGTGATATATAATACAAGGGAACCCCCGTGTCACGTGTATGTTCTTGTGATGTATTTACTAGGAATCCCTTCGTGATATACATGTATTTACTAGGGAATCCCCGTTTGACGTGAACACTATCGAATCCCTTTGTGATGTATATACTAGGGAATCCCCATGTCACGTGTATGGTAAGTAAACTTCTTTTTACCGTGTATGCTAAATATCCCCATCTGACGTACATATTAAGGAATTCTCAATTAATCGTGTAATGTGCGTGCTAGGAAATCTTCAATTGGCCGTTTATGATAGAGTCTCCGTGTGACGTGATACTAGGAAATCTTCATGCCACGTGTATACTAGGGAATCCCCATGTCACGTGTATACTAGGGCGTCTGCATTTTAGAATTCTTGCAAAGACGTCATGTAAATACACCCTTTTATTTGTTCAATTATGTGCACATTGCTTGCTTAAATGTATAAAAGTGATTGTAAGCCTTTGTTTTTTGTTTTCACAACTATAACCATTCCTATTATCCATATGTTGTAAAGCGCTTTAGAATAATTTTACAAATTATATAGGGCGCTATATACATGTTGTATATTATTATTATTTATTAGTATAGGGAATCTCCATGACACGTGTATACTAGGGAATCCCCATGTCACGTGATACTAGGAATTATCCATGTGATGGTGATGTTTATATACGGGGATGCCCATGTAACGTATATACTAGGGAATCTCCATGTCACGTTTATAAACTGTTTTTCTTTACCAAAAGTGCGTTGCGTTTGCGTTGCGTTTGCGTTTGAACGTACAAGGAAAACGGTCCAGGGTCTGTACTAGGGAATCTCCATGTGACGTGTATACTGGAGAATATCCATGTGACGTGTATACTAGGGCATCTTAATGTGAGGTTTATAAACGGGGATGCCCCTGTGACGTGTATACTAGGGAATCTCAATGTGACGTGTATACTAGGGAATCTCCATGTGACGTGTAAACTAAGGAATCTCCTTGTGACGTGTATACGGGAGAATATCCATGTGACGTGTATACTAGGGCATCTTAATGTGAGGTTTATAAACGGGGATGCCCCTGTGACGTGTATACTAGGGAATCTCAATGTGACGTGTATACTAGGGAATCTCCATGTGACGTGTAAACTAGGGAATCTCCATGTGACGTGTATACGGGAGAATATCCATGTGACGTGTATACTAGGGCATCTTAATGTGAGGTTTATAAACGGGGATGCCCCTGTGACGTGTATACTAGGGAATCTCCATGTGACGTGTATACTAGGGAATCTCCATGTGACGTGTAAACTAGGGAATCTCCATGTGACGTGTATACTGGAGAATATCAATGTGACGTGTATACTAGGGAATCTCCATGTGACGTGTATACTTAGGAATATCCATGTGACGTGTATACTAGGGAATATCCATGTGACGTGTATACTAGGGAATCTCCATGTGACGTGTATACTGGAGAATATCAATGTGACGTGTATACTAGGGAATCTCCATGTGACGTGTATACTTAGGAATATCCATGTGACGTGTATACTAGGGAATATCCATGTGACGTGTATACTAGGGAATCTCCATGTGACGTGTATACTTGGGAATATCCATGTGACGTGTATACTAGGGAATATCCATGTGACGTGTATACTAGGGAATCTCCATGTGACGTGTATACTGGAGAATATCAATGTGACGTGTATACTAGGGAATCTCCATGTGACGTGTATACTTAGGAATATCCATGTGGTGTTTATTAACAGGGATACCCCTGTGACATGTATATTTAGGAGTCCCTGTGTTACCTGTACAGTAAGGATATTCTCGTTGCTCCTGTATTCTACACAATATTCATGTGACGTGAATACTAGGAAATTCCTTATCACTTGTATACTAGGTAATCCGTGAGTCAAATATGCATACTAGGAAATATCCCTGTCACGTGTATACAAGGGAACCCCCGTGCTACGTGTATAATATGACATATCCGTGAAACTCTCCGTAATAGGGATTAGAAAGTCCCCTCTATGGTTGTAATCACGACCAATTGCAGTGTTGTTCTATGAAAATGAATATTGTGATCTGATGAACGAGACACGGTAATCTTGTCCTCGTCGTTGAGCTTTCAACACCGAGATTAGATGTCCACATGTTTTCTGAACATTACACGGTCAGTTATAAATATGACTTGGCACGGCTTAAATAGCCATAGCTATTAATAGGAGTTAAACTAAATAAAACTAAACCAAACCCATATGTTTTGCTTGAATTTTGGAATTCTCATTGACGAATAGAGCGGTTTCCATAATGTTGTTTTCAATCGATTGTCTTGTAAAAGTACCCACTTGCCTTTATAATTAGGATGTTACTCTATTTATGTTAACAAGCAAAACAGCGGTTGTGTTTGGTATGACGTAAAGTATCAGAATGTTGAGATCATACCCAGACGAGGGCATTAGCGGGACACTTGATACAACAACGACCAATGTTTTCTTACGAGTTCTCCCTCTTACGAGTTCTCCCTAATTTGAGCAATACAAATTGGTTTGTCTACAGAGATTGAGACACTGCGTTCCTGTTTCCTTGTAATTAGTCCGTGTAGGGGCCTATGTGGACTCGTTAATTAGCCATAGTAACCGGTGCTACCCGAGACGGACTGGACAGATTTGATTGGCATTTTACCAATTCCATTATTGACGTCACCGTCCACTGCCTTCTCGTAGGCGATTCACATCATATCTCGTGTCCCTAACCCGTCATTAAACCACATAACGATCGGGTTGTACTCCGCCCCGTCCTAATAAACCATAGACCAGTTGTTATTTCAGTTACCTAATTTTACTGATGGTAAAAGTTCCTTCAGAAGTTCGTTTTTTAGTCAATACATATTATATGTGCTATAATGTTACTGAATGTCCTGGGTCTAGTGTATATAATCTTACTGAATGTCCTGGGTCTAGTATATATAATCTTACTGAATGTCTTGGGTCTAGTGTATGCACTTGGTATGTTGTTGTTTTCCCATAGCCTGGTCAGATCCGGATATAAATGTTCTGATAACCTGGGGTACTTATAATTACAGATAACTTGAGGTAGTTAGGTTTGTATGCTAGTAGCGCATTAGCTGACAATTATGATAACGCTGGCATGTTTTGTCTGTTTCAGCTGTTTTTATAGGCGATATAGCCTTAGCTGATGAAGATATAGCTTATGCCAAAGCACTATCCAAACAGGAGCCGGACGAGGACTCATCGGATATATACGGACTTCAGATAGATGACCCGCGAGCGTCAACCATTCATAGAAAAGGGCCCCATACAACATTAGAAAAAAACATCGATAGATTGGAAAAAATAAGTGGTAGAAAATCTAAAAAACATAAAAAGCTAAGGAAGCAGAAAAAACAGAGAAAAGGCAAGAAAAATAGGACACCACTTAGAAAGTGTGCAAGAGGGTGAGTTTTATACTTTATCATGTGTAGTATCATACTCCATCACATATCTGTACAGGTCAGGAACGCATCCGAGTGTGGACCTAGAAAAAATGGCAATGAACATCTTCCTTGACAACAGGCAAGTGTAGCAACATATTATACATTTAAACCAACAGGCAAGTAAAACAACATATTCTAGATATCTGAACCTACAGGCAAGTGTAGCAACTTATTATACATTTAAACCAATAGGCAATGTAATTACAATAGAAATCAGGAGGTAAGTTTATCAACAAATATCAGATTGGCTGCTAAATGAATAGATATACAAATTGGTAGTTGACTATAACAGATAGTCGGTTTATTGATAACCAGGTATTTGCTTAATTGATTACCAGGTGCTCGGTTTATTGATAACCAGGTATTTGCTTAATTGATTATCAGGTGCTCGGTTTATTGATAACCAGGTATTTTCTTAATTGATTATCAGGTGCTCGGTTTATTGATAACCAGGTATTTGCTTAATTGATTATCAGGTGCTTGGTTTATTGATAACCAGTTATTTGCTATATTGATTACAAGGTACTCGGTTTATTGATAACCAGGTATTTGCTTAATTGATTATCAGGTGCTCGGTTTATTGGTAACTATCTGTATTGGTGATCAAGTAATCACTTTATTGATAAACAGGTATTCGCTTAATTGATTACAAGGTACTCGGTTTATTGATAACCAGGTATTTGCTTAATTGATTACAAGGTACTCGGTTTATTGATCACCAGGTATTTGCTTAATTGATTACCAGGTACTCGGTTTATTGATAACCAGGAATTTGCTTAATTGATTACCAGGTACTCGGTTTATTGATAACAATCTGTATTGGTTATCAAGTAATCGCTTATTGATAACCAGGTATTCGCTTAATTGATTACAAGGTACTCAGTTTATTGATAACGAGGTATTTGCTTAATTGATTACCAGGTACTCGGTTTATTGATAACCAGGTAATTGCTTAATTGATTACCAAGTACTCGCTTTATTGACAACAATCTGTATCGGTTATTAAGTACTCGCTTTATTGATAACCAGGTATTCGCTTAATTGATTACCAGGTTCTCGGTTTATTGATAACCAGGTATTTTCTTAATTGATTACCAGGTACTCGGTTTGTTGATAACAATCTGTATTCATGATTAAGTACTCAGTTTATTGATAACCAGGTATTTGCTATATTGATTACAAGGTACTCGGTTTATTGATAACCAGGTAATTGCTTAATTGATTACCAGGTACTCGGTTTATTGATTACCAGGTATTTTCTTAATTGATTACCAGGTACTCGGTTTGTTGATAACAATCTGTATTCATGATAAAGTACTCAGTTTATTGATAACAATCTGTAATCATGATAAAGTACTCGGTTTATTGATAACCAGTTATTTGCTATATTGATTACAAGGTACTCGGCTTATTGATAACCAGGTAATTGCTTAATTGATTACCAGGTACTCGCTTTAATGATAACCAGGTATTTGCTTAGTTGATTACCAGGTACTCGGTTTATTGATAACAATCTGCTAGTCAGCCATCTTGGATTTTAACATTAAAAAATTCAATTTGTTTTGCTCTTAACTGGTTAACATTTTGTTATGACATTATGGAGCAAAGTTGGTCACAATACAACAAGAAGTCAACTGATCGAAAGTTAAGGTCGTCGGATCAAAGGTCAAGGTCAGATTTTGTATCCTTTTACTGCTTAACATTTTGTTTTAACATTATGAAGTAAAGTTGGTCACTATCAAACAATGTAACAACTGAACAAAGGTCAAGGTCAAAGTTTGTATCTTTTCCCTGATGAAAATTGTGTTATGACATTATGAATCAAAGTTGGTCGGAATTTAACAAAGAGATAACTGACTTAAGACCAATGTCACTGGGTCAAAGGTCAATGTCAAATTTAGTATCTTTTCACTGGTGAAGATTTCTTTATGACACTTTGAAGCAATGTTGGTCAGAATTAAACAAGGAGTCAATTGACCAAAGGTCAAGGTCCCTGGGTCAAAGGTCAAGGTCAAATATTGTATCTTTTAACTGATGAACATTTTGTATAGGTTATTATGAAGCAAAGTTGTTCAGAACATAACACAGTCAACTGACCAAAGATCAGGGTCACTGGGTTAAAGGTCCAGGTTATGGGGTCCAAAGGTTCAAGGTCAAGGTCAAGTTTTGTATTTGTCACTGATGAACATTTTTCTATGATATTATGAAGCAAAGTAGGTCGGAATTGAAGAATAAGTCAACTGACCAAAGGTCAGGGTCACTGGGTTACAGGTCTAGGTTAATGGGTCCAAAGGTTCAAGGTCAATGTCAAGTTTTGTATTTTTCACTGATGAACATTTTTCTATGATATTATGAAGCAAAGTAGGTCGGAATTGAAGAATAAGTCAACTGACCAAAGATCAGGGTCACTTGGTTAAAGGTCAAGGTCATTTGGGTCCAAAGGTCAAAGACAAAGTGGATCTCTGACTTTGACCCTGGCTCTGGATGGGGGAGGTATTTAAGGCGAAATAAAACAAATCAAAGCTAACAAATGAGTATTGCACTGGTATTTACATTTCTGTTAGCCCAGCAAATATGGAGGTGGAAGGAAACAAGACTTTCATCATAGTACATGTAAAGAGTATATTTTGCTTCCTTGCGATTTTTTTTTTTTTTGAAGTCCAAATGTCAAACGTCAAGCTCAGCTATATGGGCAGATTGCTTCTTGATGATTATATGGGGGATATATTGCAACAAGACGTGGCCCTTACTGACCTGTCAGTGTTCTAGTTGAATACTAGGTACTCGCTTTATTGATAACTAGGTATTCGTTTAATTGATAATCAGATACTCGCTTCACTGATAACAATCTGTATTGATGAAAAAGTACTGGCTTTATTGATGGGTATGTATTCATTTTATTATTCAGAATTTACTCGCTTTATTGTTCAGAAGGTACTCGCTTTATTAACTGAATATATTGGCAGTAGAGTATCGTAGTACATGTTTATACATAGAAAGGTTAGATACTCCGTTCCAATTAAATCGGCCAACGTTCCAGCCATGTAAAAGTGTATAACGGTAGGGCCTTAGTCGGTCGTGGTCAACCTTACGTAATGGTGAATAAATTAGCAAAACCTTAAAACTGTTTCTGTAGTTGACATTTGCTGATCCTTAATGATGTATGTGGTGTCATGAAACCAATTAAGAGGAAATAACCACATTTGGTTCCACAAATGGTATTGAAGTGGCCCTGGAGTTTCAGCTGTGACCCCGTGAACCTGTTGATAGAGACATCAGTCACAGACTTAATTTAGTTATTACGTGTGCATTCTCCCTCAGACAAGTGCAATACAGTTACAGATAGGGTTTCCAGATTTATTTTAATTTTGTAATCGTTATATCAAAAAAAACTTCAATATCCCTCAAAGTTCATCTTTATAAACATACGTATGCTTCAGTATGCATTTAGGAAAAATAATGGAAATGTGATTAGATAATCACGTGAGGTGGATATTAGTTTGAAGAATAACAAGAGTGCACCACAGCCAGTGACGTGTTTGTTACCTCTGACTTAGGAGATACACACGCGTACGTATATCAGCTCTCTTGTCATATGCGCATTACCGATGTCGAGTTAGTGATAATTTGATTTTTATTCAGATTTCCTGCGCAGTGATATGACCCAGATGTGCTATCCTAACGTAGCTTGTTGGACCGTAGTAATTCTCAATTTCTGGGTTTTGTCTTAAAGGAACAAGCAGCCTCTGTAATCGTTACTCTGTTTGAGTTTACTGAGAAGGTTAGAAGTGTGTACAACATGTATCAGCCCTCGTACTTACCAGACCTGTAATGTTTAATGAGATGGGTATTACACAGGCATAACTGTTTTGTAACACCTCGTTAACAGCGTTGGTGAGAAAATGTTTAGGGTTGTGGAGTTCTACTGTCATTGCTGCACGGATGGTCGGACTAGCTAGTCAGTGGTCTGAGGGGTACCCGATATACCGTCACTGAGATAGGTAGGACAAGTTAACCGGTCGGACTAGCTAGTCAGTGGTCTGAGTGGTACCCGATATACCGTCACTGAGATAGATATGTCATGTTAACCGGTCGGACTAGCTAGTCAGTGGTCTGAGGGGTACCCGATATACCGTCACTGAGATAGATATGACATGTTAACCGGTCGGACTAGCTAGTCAATGGTCTGAGGGGTACCCGAGATACCGTCACTGAGACAGGTAGGACATGTTTACCGGTCGGACTGGCTAGTCAGTGGTCTGAGGGGTACCCGAGATACCGTCATTGAGCTAGATTGGGCAGGTTAACCGGTCGGACTAGCTAGTCAATGGTATGAGGGGTACCCGAGATACCGTCACTGAGACAGGTAGGACATGTTTACCGGTCGGACTAGCTAGTCAGTGGTCTGAGGGGAACCCGAGATACCGTCATTGAGATAGATAGGGCATGTTAACCGGTCGGACTAGCTAGGCAATGGTCTGAGGGGTACCCGAGATACCGTCACGGAGATAGGTAGGACATGTTTCCCGGTCGGACTAGCTAGTCAGTGGTCTGATAGGTAAACGAGATACCGTCACTGAGATAGGTAGGACATGCTTACCGGTCGGACTAGCTAGTCAGTGGGCTGATAGGTAACCGAGATACCGTCACTGAGATAGTTAGGACATGTTAACTGCTGGACAACTTGTGTAGAAATATGCTCTACCTCATTTCAGACATTTCATTCTTGACACAACCGATTTTCACTGCAGCAGACTCGTGACATGTTTATGTATACAGTATACCCCGGTGTAGTACAGGTCATTGAGTACAATACTCATCAGCGTTTATATGTTGATAAGCATGTACCTACACACACGGAGACTAATAGTGGCTGGTACAGACACTTGGGTTTCTATGAACTGTCTCGGTTTCTATGAACTGTCTCGGTTTCTATGAACGGTCTCCTATGTACACACTAG